AGTTGAGTAAGTTTAGTTCGTTCATTGCAGTATTGCCAGATGTACGATTTAAATCGTATTCATACGATTTTTTAAGAGTTATATGCATGTACGATTGAAACATACAAATCGTACGCAATTCATACGACTTTTCACATTTTCTAAAAATATAACTACTTAACCATTACTTACATCACTATATTTTTATGTGATAGCAACCACATCACTAGTAGGGGATTTCCCTAGTGTTAAAACATTAATCAAATCAAACTAGACCAATTTACGAATCGCCTAGGTACATCACTTTATTTTGTATGTGACAGTAACCACATCTCTAGTAGGGGATTTCCCTTACGTTAAGATACTAATCAAACCCGACAAATTTAAGGCCCGCCATATACATACGGAATTCCGTTTCGGAATTCCGAACGGTCGGCCACACACAAACGGAATCCTGTTTTGCCCGCAAAATATCGAACGGAAAACTACCGTACGTGTGTGGCGAGTCATAGATTTTATACGGACTTGCTGCGTTCGGGATTCCGAATCGGAATATCGAAACGGAATCTCGAAACGGAATTCCGTATGTATGTGGCCGGCCTAAGAATCGCTTCTGCTTTTTGTTTTTATACAAGTGAATTGGTGAATATAATAGTATACGTAACTCGGCAGTATTACATAATATTGGTAAGCATGCGTTTTGTTTGTTTACTTTTCTTCACAGATCTTTTCTCGTCGTTCTTGAGAACAGTTATCAACAGTTTGATACTCTTTTGATAGCACGTATTTATATTGAAAATATCAATAGTTTCTCGTTTATTATTGAGGACGTACATCTAACAGCAGGGCCGAATCGCCCTAGTCCCAGTAGCTTATATAGAGATAAAGACTAATCATTTTGAGTTTTTTAATTCTCAATTTTTTTTTGTTTAATTTAATAAAATAAAGTTAAAAAAAAACGTAAGTACTATTTTTATTTAATGACTTTCTTAGGGAATACCACTTTTTATTTACCCATTGTACGATCGTTTATTTAAAATGTCTGGCAGCACTGGTTCGTTGAGATGTCCGTCTGATTCGGTTAGAATCATGAAGTTACTCCAGAAAACCAGCGTGAAGTAGCGGTTTACCACTGCGTTTCGCTTGGTGAGTGCAGGCGGCCGGAGGCTTTTTTTACTGGAAATGAGGCATTCCATCTTAGTCCTCACGGGTGACAACGCATCTACATTTTGATTTATAATAGAGGATAAATGTAGATGTCTATGGGTCGCAGCAACCACTTACCATCAGGTGGACTGTGTGCTCGTTTGTCACCCTTATCCTATAAAAAAAAGTTATAGATAAAGATGGAGGCCACACTTTGAACAACAGCTTGAGTCAAATACCTACGTATCTTTATCTCACTTTCTGTGGTCTGACTTCTCTTTTTAGTGTGGAATACAGTATTGCTATGTTTTCATTTAAATCTCCTGGTAAATTCTTAGAAATAGTTTCCACAATAACCAAATCAGAAGTTAAGCTCTGTAAAATAATGTTCCAATAAATAAATAGTTTAACTACGATTAGTTACATTAAAAATTCCAAAATTGAAGGTCTCGTATGCATTATTGGGTTAACGAATCAGTGAATTACAATCCCATTTCCTAAGGGTTCGGTAATGTGGCAACATTAGCCCTATATGTCAACATAAATTAGACAAATATGGCGGTTGTTTACTTAGCAGTTCACAGCGTCGTTTGAGATATTTAAAGTTAATTATTGTCATCATTCAAGAAATGGTGCAAACTTGTGTAGTACGTGGTTGCGGCAGTAGTTGGTGTCCAGGAGGTGAATAAGATTTCACACGTAAGTGTTTAAATAGTGACTTCTGGCATTGAATACTTGTAAACATACTTTGTATTTTTACTTAATTTTTTGCTGAAACGTTTCATCAGTGTTTTAAACATATTAGTAAATTATAACTTTGTCAAAATCAAATAGTTTTACATTGAATTTAATTGACTTTGAATAATTTTATTGTTTTTGTTTAAAAGAAATCGCACTGAAGTAGTGTGACCATATTGACGATGTATCTGAGACTTTTCGTGTGACCTTAACTAATTATATGTACATGTTTCTTATTATGTTACCGGAAATGCATGAAATTTAGGAATTATGTACAATTCCTATGTATTCTATATAATGACGGATTTCATAGATTTCATAATATTAAATTAAAAATTAGTAACACAATATATTCTTTTGGCAGACAATTTATCTTTATTTAGTTTTTGTTTCTCATTATTCTGATACTTTAATGACGTTTACAATAATTACGAATATTTTTTTTAGATTTCCTAAAACAGTATTCTGAGAAATTTGTTGTTATCCAATGCACCATTGAAAATGAAGTATTATGAAAATGCAAGGATTTGCAATTTGCATTTTCAAGAATCAGATTATGATTCAACAACAAGGCGCTCAAAACCAACAGCAGTTCCTACTGTTATAAGAAATCAAGAAACAGTATCATCAGGCAAGGTAAAAATTTTATATAATTGAACTATCTATTTTTCGTAATATATTACGTATTTAGAAATGTAGTAGTTTTGTATTTGTATTTGTACATTTTGTAAAATATGTTATCATTTGCGGACAACAAGTGCCTGACATGAAGAGTCTATTGTGCAAATAGCTTTTCTGGCTGTAACAAGCACTAGTTCTGGAATTAATGAAAGTAGTTCTGCACTTAAGGAAACAGGAGTGAAATGTACTGGCTGTAATATTGAAGACCAAACTAGTAAAAAACAATGTCGAAAAATTCTGAAAATGTATGCAATCTGAACAAGTTACCTGTAAGTTTCCTTTTCCTTTATTACCAAATACATACCTTTTATTTGTATTTATTATGACTTTAATATTACATTACATAATGTAGTAGTAATATAGTTTAAAACACATACATATTTAAACTCTTTAGTGGCAGTCGCAGTGTGGTAACCGTCACTACGACACTAAGCATGAAGCTTCTTGTTTGATGCTTCATTAATGCGTGCTCACGAAGTCGCGCTCCGATGTATTATGTGTTACCTATTAAGTGATGTAAATTTGTACGGACATTATACCAGTCCGATTTGAAAATATTTTTTTGCATTTTTAAAACCAATTCCTCAGGAAGGCTGTCTAACATCACGCTACGACTCTAATGAGCGGAGCAATACTATGTACGATGCTAAAAATACTGATTTCATAAAGTTTTCTTGTTTTTTAGGTCAGCAGTGAATACGACGACGTGCAAGTGAAAATAAAGTGTACTAAAGAAGAAATACTTGAGACGAAAACTAAGATTCTTAAGCAAAAAGTGGCGCGCCAAACTAAAAAAAATCAGGGTAGGTCTTCTTTAATGGCAACTATTAAAAAGTATACGGGTCAGTCAGAATTGAGAATATTTATTCAAGGGTGCTTTGCTGATATCTGTAAGGACTTCAAAAAGCCACAGAGTTATCCACATGATGTGTAAAATTTCAATAAATAATTTTAATATGGAAAGTATTTTTATTTATTTTTTAAGGTTTTTTATATATTATCGTTCCTATTATAGTACATATGTTACTAGAAATCTATGAAATCCGTTTTTATATAGAATTCCTAGGAATTGTAGATAATTCGTAAAATGAACAGGATGTGTGGAATATAGTATTATACACATTTCAGCTCAGAGCAGCCTGACTCGGATGGGTTAGCTCAGAAGGCTAAGGCAGGTAGCTCCGCTACGCTCCTTTAGTCCTCGTGATATTTTTCTAAAATAATTGTCCAGAAATAGATTTAGTCTGTCTGAACAATAAATCAGGTATATATTGCCCAATTCATTGATCACCCGGGGTGTTATTATAAATTTTAATTTTATATTTCGTTGGTACCGTTTAGGTATATACAATAACCAAAAATAGTAGTAATAAAATATTTTCTGATATATTTATTTTCCACATTTTCTAAATAGGCTCGGCATTAAATGGGTTGTAACGGAAATGCCTTGTCATATTTTAGATACCGGTTCTGCCCATGGAAATGAAAACCTTTCTTCATAAAACCAATTTCCCAAAAAATTGTAGAAATATACAACGTGTAACAAAAACCCCGTGGTTCCCGTTAAGTACGTTATCAGAGTCGGTATTCAAACGTAAAGAAATAACTTTTTTTCAAAAAACTTGAACATAAAAAAATTAAATTTTAATTAAAAAAAAATTATTTACAAATTTTATGTGGTTTTATTACCTCTAACTGACACGAGCATCGGCGAAGGTGGGTTTTTCTACAATCCTCTTATTATCCGGATAATGCAGAGGTAATAAAACCACATACAATTCGATTTTTTTTAAATTAAAATATTTTTTAATGTTCATGTTTAGTTTTTTGAAAAAAAAAAAGTTATTTCTTTACGTTTGAATACTGACGCTGATAACGCACTTAACATGAACCACAGGGTTTTTGTTACATGTTGTATATAGGCTAGATCTTAGTAGTGAACAGAGATGTAAATATTTATAAATAAATCACTTAATGTAATGCAACTACTTATAGCGATATCCTGGGAAAAATAAAATAAAGGTTACCTACTTAGAAAGAGAGGGTCTGTCCACAGAGAGCGAGATAGAAATACATAGGTTGAGCTTCAAGTAGGTGTGTGGTCTCCATTTTTATCTATAACTTCATAGTTAGAATCTAGTTCTAGATCTACTGGTTAGCACAGAGTATCTTTTTATAACTAGTTAGTCTGTGCACTCTGCAGTCTGCCCCATAGATAAATAAATATGTAGCAAGCTAGTCTGCCCCACAGAATATATATATCCCTAAAGGGGCTCTGCCCCACATGAGTAAAGAAACCGCCATCTTTTCTCTGTGCTCTGCACTGTATTTTGGTCAGATCAAGGCTCAGAAGGGCTAGTAACCAGAGCCGTTAAGCCAGTTTAAAAAAATTGCTCAGATCAGGTGAAATTTAATTTATTGTGAAAAACCTAAAACGGTCTAATAATCCAAGTATTATGCAGAAATATGAGAAACTTGAAAAAATTGGGGAAGGTACATATGGGACCGTTTTTAAGGCAAAAAATAAAGAAACCCATGAAATTGTAGCCCTCAAACGCGTAAGATTGGACGATGATGATGAAGGTGTACCATCGTCAGCCTTACGTGAGATATGTCTCCTCAAAGAGCTGAAACATAAGAATATTGTGCGTCTCTATGATGTTCTTCACAGTGAAAAGAAATTGACGTTAGTGTTTGAACATTGTGACCAAGATTTAAAGAAATATTTTGATAGCCTCAACGGCGAAATTGATCTTGACGTAGTGAAATCATTTATGTATCAGCTCCTCAGAGGTTTAGCATTTTGTCATAGCCATAATGTTTTACATCGCGATTTGAAACCACAAAACCTATTAATCAATAAAAATGGCGAGTTAAAGTTGGCTGATTTTGGTTTGGCAAGGGCTTTTGGCATACCTGTTAAGTGTTATTCAGCAGAAGTCGTGACTTTGTGGTATAGACCGCCAGATGTGTTATTTGGAGCTAAACTTTATACTACAAGTATTGATATGTGGTCAGCAGGGTGTATATTTGCAGAGCTGGCTAATTCTGGTCGACCATTATTTCCTGGATCTGATGTTGATGATCAGCTTAAAAGAATTTTCAAACTACTTGGTAAGTTTTCAGAGTAAATTCATATTTATATGTAAATAAATTCAATGTCCTAAACACCTTGCTACTTGGCTTTTCTGTTTTTCAAACAGCTGCACATATTTTCCATTTTTGTATTTGTCAGGTTTTCTTCCAAAGTTTTTCCAATATATTATTCGTAATTGGCATTTTGTAAATATAGCACTTAAAGTTCGAAAATGAGAAAATAGATTGAGTTTTTTTCCTACATACCATAATGTTGTGCGTTTGTTATGAGGTGGCATCTTATGAGACTTCATATAAGTATTTTGTCTAAAGATTAATAGAGATTTTATATGCTGATATACCGTTTTGCTTTGTATTATTCACAAAGCAAGTAAATAAGTACTTTAAGGTGAAGAATATGTTGATTGAAATCTATAATTTTAGGTTTTATACATGTTCTGTTTAGGTATTAGCAATGATTTTTTTTGAGTTTATGGTATATGTGCAATACATACAAGGGACTATCTATACTGGGCCATTTTGTATATATTTGGCGCTTGCGGCCAATGCTCGCCGACGAGCCATATAGTGTCGGTTTTCCGTGTACAAATAAAAGAAATTTGGTGCAAGCCGCAAACAGCGATCACACATTGGCCGAGTGTTCAGTTCATAGTTACGCGTCGGAGTAGACTGTAGTGTCAGCTTAATAAAATTGTTTCAACATGGCGACATGGACTAATGAGGAAATATTTAGGTTCGCTGATTGATTGTCACAATGAATCAGTTATATGGAACCCCAAACATGAGCAACATAAAAATAAAATCAGAGTAACAACTTGCCTAACTGCATTAAATAATACACGTATAGTTGCGATTTCAGAGTACCTACCTAATGATAAATATTATTATATATTATTTCTGAGTTTATGTTGCTCAGGGATAATTTAGCTTAGGGGCTTCTTTTAGGCTATCTTTTATTTTGAAAAAAACCCCAGCGAAGCGGGCACGGGTCAGCTAGTAGGTCTTATAAAGGCTTCTTTTCTCCTTTTGAGTTCGGAACCCTAAAAAGGACAAACTTGGATAATTGTTTTATATGTAGTTTCTTTTTCGTTCACTCTGAGGAAAGTGAAGTATAAGTATATTACAGTGGCCGCGATCACCCTAATGTCCATCATCATCTAGCTACCAACGCAGAATGAAACACGCCAACGTGTGAACGGCACCACGAAAATCTGCCGAGCGCGCTCGGCCAACGTGTACTGGAGCCATAACACCTATAGTAAATAAATGTTTGTTAAAGGAGCCATGTCTATAGCACTTGTTGCTACCCTGATCTGTGACTTGTTCAATCTCATTAAGACCTTGATTATACAACTGTTTATTTCTGGCAGGGCCTCTCTAGCTTGCCTACAGTCCACTAGACTTTTTCAAAGCCGAGCGTGTTGATTAGGATTTAGCGTTTGAAAGTTTTTACATACTAGTTGACAAATGTTACGAAAAGGGATTGGTCCTATAATGACCATAGCCGATCCACTCCTGGCCGGTTTGTCTGCTATGTTGTTGCCCCTGGATCCATTGTTTGTCTTGATCCATTGTAAAGTCACATTGTTGCATTTACATACCTCATTTAGTTGTTGATGGTATTCATATATTAGCCCTGAGTTCACCACATTGCAACTCAGGAGTGTATTACTGCCATACTGTCGATCAGTATTCTACTGATGGAGAAGTCTTTTATCGTAGCATCTATTGTTATGGCTGCATGGATGATACCCATACATTCTGCCTAAAAGACTGTGTCGTGGGTAATCAGCAGTGTACATATGTGAATATTGAGGTTTTCCAAGAAAGTTGCAAATCCTACACCTTCATTTGTTTTAGAACCATCCATGAAAAGTCTAAGCTCCTTTGGATTTAATCCCTCTGGCTGGTTTCATCCTCAAATCTCCACTGAGATCATCCTTTGTCATGTCTCACAGTTGCCAGAACGCTATCGCATACATCCCTGGTCCCACCAGCGCTGGCCGCCCCATGGTAGCCCCTCCTCGGGGAGGACTTCTCCTCACACTTTTCCTTCTGTACTAAGGCAAGGTACACAGGGTGTACCTTTCTCCGTGACCTCTACCTGCGTAACGGACTCCCTGAGTTCAATATGCGGAGGCCATGGCCATGAGAACCCGTTCGGGGGGGTGTTTAAATACCACTACTCCATATGACAAAATTTAGCAACATGCTTACTATGGTGGGTGGCAACCAAAAGGCCAGTGGGTAAAGTATCACTCAGAACACACATATTTCCTAGTATTCATGTAATTTCTACAAACAAGCTTCATTCCTTGGAGAATTGAAGAAATAAATTAGATGCTAATCAATCAAAAAACGTCCGATTACTTATTAGTACTCGGACATTGTGTGACATACGCTTCTATGTATTGTGCTCGAAGATCCCGATAGAGTAGAAAAGTTCTAGAGTGGAAGCCATACCAATATGCGGAGAGTATGGCCCCTTCACTAGATTTAGTGACAACCTCGTAAGACATGGAGGAAATCATCTATTTAATTATAATAAAATATGTTTTTAGGAACTCCAAATGAAGACACTTGGCCTGGAGTCACACAGTTGCCAGATTATAAACCATTGCCAGTATATCAACCTAGCTTGGGTCTTGCACAAGTTGTCCCAAGACTACCTGCCAGGGGAAGAGATCTCCTAGCAAGACTGTTAACATGCAATCCAGCATTAAGAATGCCTGCTGATGATGCAATGGCACATGCTTACTTCCATGACTTAAACCCTTCTGTGAAGAATGACAGGTGTTAACAATCAATACATCCTTATAGATGTACCTCTGAACTGTTATATTGTGATAAGGACAATGCTGAGGTACAGGAAAATAATGATGAAGAGACTTAAATAATATATAGTTTGTTTGGTAGTCATCAATTGTTATTATTTATTTAATAGTGATGAAACGAGTTTGTTCCATTTAATCATACATTTTTCCAGTCATGGCTCTGTGGTCCTTATATTCTGAGATCCTGGTTTTGGATTCAGCCAGGGCTAATATTTGTGCAGTAATAAAATTTGTTGGTTTTTGGGTATGGTTTTGGTTATGATTAATGTTATGGTTTTATTTTAGATAAAATTCTTCAAACAATATCAGTACTGCATCAGAAGTAGTTTTTAGGATTAATGTAACACCTTTGCAAATAATTTATGAATGTTTCTTTGTCTTTTCCATTTTCTACTGTTTTACTTCCTTGTATTGTCTACTCACTATGTATGTGTTGCATCACTAAGATATTTTTTAGTAAGTACTGTGATTTTAAGATTACTGAAACTGTGTTTCATTTAAGACATTTTTCAAAGATACTTGCGTGTTTTGATCTTATTTGAAATTATTTATGTGAAATTATATAAATTATAGAATTTATTGAATAATATAAAATGGAAGGAATATTTTTAATTTGCTCATAATATTATGATCTCATTACATAAATTATTTTTCACGTTCTCATAGTAACTTAAGGTTAGTATAAGTAGGTAATCAATTAATTTCTTATATGTATAAAACAATGCTTAGGTTATTTGTAAAGCTAATAACCTTTTGTATTTAATGTATAATAAAAAATGAGTACTATTTGGTATTTTCTGTATATTTAACTCTCATAGCAGGCCTCTATCACAATCGCGAGGTGCCCCGTGCTACATACACAGTCGGGACTAGTGCGTTCTAGGAGGTTCTAGGCGACTGAAGTAGGTAATCAATTAATTTCTTAAATGTATAAAACAATGCTTAGGTTATTTGTAAAGCTAATAACCTTTTGTATTTAATGTATAATAAAAGATTAGTACTATTTGGTATTTTCTGTATATTTAACTCTAATAGCAGGCCTCTATCACAATCGCAAGGTGACCCGGGCTATATACGCTGTCGGGACTAGTGCGTTCTAGGCGAATGTATGTTAAAAAAATTTAATGCTGTTTATGTAAATACTTGTTGAAATACCTACTCGTAAAATAGTTTTTGTTTAGTACATTTAATTGTAGGATAAAATATGATAAAATAGTTGAGTTTTAATGTTAACTTTCTACTGCATTTTTTTTTTATTTTTGTGTGTTACCTCATAACTTATCTCTAGGTGAACCAATTTTGATGATTATTTTTTTATTTGAAAGCGAAAGTTGGTGTTTCTCATGTAGTCCCATATAAATTTGATCAAGGTCTGACCAGTAGTGTTTGAGTTATCCTAAATAATTTATATTGAAGTCGGTTGTACAATTTTTTTTTAATTTTAGCACGCCATACTATTCTTACCATATTATTTTTAAACATCTGCATAAAGATAAAGAGTGAAATATGTGTGGAACACTGTGGTTGGAAAATATACTGTGATGTGTGGATTTGTAACCATTTATTATAACAGAAAGATCTGCTCTGATGTTAAGGATCAAGCCATGTTAAAATAGAGCTGTTGATGCCAAATAATAGTTGAGTTTTGTTATAAGAATACTGTGAGGTTGATGGTGTTTGCGGAACGAGATCCGAGATACTGATATCGAAAATTGGCTTAAAATAAATCATCATCATCATCATTACAGCCCTTCACAAGTCCACTGCTGAACATAGGCCTCCCCCAAAGAATGCCACAAAGCACGGTCCCGAGCCACCTGCATCCATCGACTTCCTGCAAATCTTACCAGGTCGTCACTCCATCTAGTGGGGGGACGCCCTACACTTCGCCTGCCGGTACGAGGCTGCCACTCGAGAACCTTTCTTCCCCATCGGTTGTCGGTTCTTCGAGCTATATGGCCGGCCCATTGCCACTTCAGCTTACTAATCCGTTGGGCTATGTCGGTCACTCTGGTTCTACTGCGGATATCCTCATTTCTGAGTTTATCACGCAGAGAAACTCCGAGCATAGCCCTCTCCATAGCTCGCTGAGCGACCTTGAGCTTCCTCATCCGGCCAGCAGTGAAGGACCACGTCTCAGTTCCGTATGTCATCACTGGCAACACGCACTGGGTGTACAGTCTCGTTTTCAAGTTTTGAGGTATACCTGACGAGAAGATGTGCCGTAATTTCCCGAACGCTGCCCAACCGAGTTGAATCCGTCGATTGACCTCTCGGTCGAAGTTGGACTTACCTAGTCGGACTATTTGTCCCAGGTAAACATACTCGTCAACAACTTCGAGCTTAGTGTTCCCAACAACTACCGGCATAGGTGTGACATGGACATTAAACATGATCTTTGTTTTGTCCATGTTCATCTTAAGACCTATCCGTTGGGAAACACTATTGAGGTCATTGAGCATAGTGCTTAGGTCTTAAAATAAATAATCCCGAATAATTGGATAAACTGAAAGTTTAATAAAAGTTAAAGTACTGTGTAGCAATATCGACCTATCCGACCGATCATCGCTTTTGTATACTGTATAGACTTTAGCAGTTTTCCATTTTTCACGAAAAATATCTGTTTTTGAGGATTCATTATAAATATTAATTAGAGGATCAAGCAACTAAGAGCATCAGTTTTCAACAAATATTGGAGAAATATTATCAGGTCCTGAACCTCTTCCAAAAAAGTCACGAACACTCACTTCTTTCAATTTATTTAGTAACATTAATAGACTAGAAATATCACTAGGCCAAGAAACATATTACTCTATAACAAGAGAAGAGAAGAATGGTAACTCTTATAAAGATACACACGTCGTAGAGAGAATGCAAATTCCATTCCTTATCTATTTGTCTATGTTTAACTTGGTACACACACATAGAAACTGACTGCCTCCATGGTCTAGTAGTCGTAAACATGGTTACTGATCATAAGGTCCCTTCTTGAATCCCGATTGGGACCAAAATCAGCTATTAGGTTTTTCTGACAATAAATTCTCACTAGCAGTCCACAGTCAGTAAGTTGGCAGTCTTCAACACCTGTGCCTCTGAAAATATGTATAGCCGTTGCTCCTGCGCATGATCCCTTTCCGGTCCTGTCAAATTACCATCTCATCAAACTATGAGAGTGGTGGAATAGATATTGCACCTGTGCTTGACCATAGACTCAGGCACTATACTCCTGTCCTGCACAGATGGCTAGTCTCCGTGACCCGAATTAGGTCTGGAGGATATTATTATTATCATAGAAACTAGTGCCGTGGCAGAATATGCGCGGGAATATTCAAAACTTAAGATATTAATAATAGTTTATGTTTAAAATGCAATACATAATAATTCTTTAATTCCAAAGTGTGTCAAAACTGAAATCTTGGTTAGGTTGAGTAAACATGGAAAATAGGAGAGAGGAGAAATTGAGTAACTATGAAACATAAATGAGAAGGCACATTATTAAAGATTCCTCTTCATCGCCTTGTAAACCTTACCATTTGTGACCATAGACCTAGAATAAGTAGTAGAAGAAGTAGTTGGTAGCTTAGGGAAATAGATTATAAGTGTGATATTACCTCAGATGCAAAGCTACAGCATCTTGTATGTAACATTTCCACATTTTTTTTTAAATAAATTCTAATTAGGCAAATAATTTTCATATGTTTACTTTTCATCCAATATATCTTTATCTAAAAATGAAATTAAAGCATTTCCATTTCAGCTCTTTTTCGTTTCCGATGACTGGCTACCATATTTGCAGTACTCAGTGGACAGTCTCCTCTTTTCAACCAAGTTGATAGTGCCTTTTCAGTTGAAGCAGCTCCAGCTGTGCGCTCTCTTTCAGTATCAGAAAGTGGTTGCAAAGCACTAATAGAATCTGTCGATGCACTAGCCGACAATATCATTCTGAATCTCTGTCTGAAGGTCTGGAAATATTTATACCATTATAATATATACTTATTTATAAATTAGGTATAAGTTTACAATTTTATAAGTTTGGGGGTACAATGTTCAAGTATTAGCACAATGGTTTAATTAAGCCAGTTAATTATTTCCATATATATTTATTGATATGTGGCTATATGCTACTGGCTAAGCTAGTGATAAGTTCTGAACCCTATGGACATCCGATATATCCCCAGCTAGCTTGTTAAAAACCATATGAGAGACGAAATAAAGAATGTCATATTATTAACAAATTTGCTGCAGAATGGAATCTGTTATATTAAACTGATTAAATAATAATATAAATTAAGTTTTAAAACTGTCATTACATAGAATCAGGTGTTTTTAAAACTACATAGGAGCAGAGGGAGTGCAGCTCCTGCCCACTGTACATTCCTTCCTAAATAAGTTATATAGTCTTATCCCACACAAAAACAAAATGTTTCGAAAACAAAATATAAACTCCAATAATATTAATAATACTTAGTACAGTAGCAATATACTACTTACATTAACTAATGTATTACCGACTTCGCCTTTTATATCATGTTTTGCAATATAGCATCCAAGTTCATAAAAATGCTGCCCTAGTTTATGTAAATCTACTGTGCAGGCGTCTGCGTTTAATATTTCTCTGTATGCTTCTTTATATATTTTAGGTAAGTCTACGCTAACTAAAGGTGGCCTACGAGAATATAGTGACTCCGCTAACCATAACGGAATTTCGACATTAGTTCCAGTTTTTAAATCATCCTCAGTTGATGCTGGGTCTAAAAATCCTATAAAATCGGAGAATTAAATTGAAAATGAATACAATAAGAAGAATTAAAAAACATATTTTTTATTTATTGCATACCCATTTTAGGCAAATCGTGCAAAAATTTACACGGTACTTTTTCGTTAGTTACTAATATATCGGATATTGATAAATAATTAGATTGATTGCCCATATTTTTATTTAAAAAACAAGAACAAATAGTTAAAATTAAAAATTAAAATCGTTCAAATTTATCTCTGACTGTTGTTTTTATTATTCGCTAGAGAGAGCAGGCAAAGGAACTAAGCCATACAGCCTTGCCTTTTTTATATTATCCTTCATAGTTCACTGCTTCACAATATGTTGATGCGTCACATTGTGCAGCCCTTGGGAGATTTTGACGGCAACTTGAGCCAGCAGACAGCTGTCAGTTTGCGATGGTATCTAAAGGCGCCTATGCAGACAAACAGCTCATCTTGAGAATCCATCACCATCAGAGCACTTGTTTCACCGTTTCCACTAATAGTTCACATAAACTATAATACAGGATATATATATATATATATATATATATATATATATATACACTATAATACAGTCAGGTTCCCGCCAAAACTCCTCTGATTCTGACTGACCCATAGCTCTGACCACAGATTTCTTTTCTTTCTTAATAACTGGCGTTACGGCTCTAGGTTCTAGCCCTTCTGAGCCTGAAATTACAATGTATAATTATCCTTCATAGTACACTGCTTCACAATATGTTGATGCGTCACATTGTACAGCCCTTGGGAGCAGTGTTATAGCCATGTACACGGTAATTACCGTAGATGCACCGTAATTTGGTCTTAATCTACCGTCAAGCTAATATGGCATTACCGTGTCATATGTCACAGTAATACTATTGTATACCGTAATGTGCTCAAATGCCGAGTGCGAGCTCATTTTCAGAAAAATAGTAAAAACTGTGTTGATTTCAGGCCTACTAACGATATGTTAACTAAAATGAATAAATCCATTTACAAAAAAATATTGTCATGCTAGGAGAGTCAGATTCAGAATAATATTGTTTTATTTTAGTATTGTTACGAGCTTGGGGTTCGAGACAATTAAAAACTGCCGATTGAATTACCAAAATTGACACTTTAATTACACAACACTAATTACAATCTAAAACCACACTAATAATAAAACACAATCACTCTAGTTCGCAGTTATTTCGCTTCGAAGTATTCTCTTGTATCGCCAATTCAATTCTGCCCCGGTCGTGGTCTATACCGGCCTTATATAGGGCCTCAGATAGTTTCCAGAACCTTCTACTGTAGCGACATCTAGAATGTTCGGGTACATATCGGTCCCGAAATTTCTGGAAGGATCTCGACTCCCTAGTTCTGCTACTCGACACTAGAGGGCGCTAGTGTAACTAGTGCTGCCATGTACAAGACATTAATAGTGGCGCGCAACAATGCCCCCTCCTAAGACATGCTCGTCCCGAGCATTACTGGCCCCATAATAACGCGCCAGTCGATCCACATGGACAATCTTAGGAGTACCTCTGGCACCTTTCTGTATCCGGGTGGTTACGTCATTGATCCTTGTCACAATCCGGTACGGTCCGTCCCATTTAGCTTGAAGCTTAGGAGATTTCCCTTTGCTGCGAACTGGATTGTGTAACCACACTAGTGAACCTTCGTCAAACCCCTCGTTGTTCATTTTGCGGTCATACCGTGTTTTCATCTTCTCAGACGTTTGCTGGCCCGTCTGTCTGACGTGCTCATAAATGTCATTCATTTTGTCCCGCAAGTCATTTGCATAATCGGTTATACTGCGTGGGGCATCAGGTGGTATTCCGGTGATCAGGTCTGCAGGCAGCCGTAATTCTCTCCCAAAGTTTGCGAAAGCTGGTGTCACTGATGTACTTTCGTGAAAAGCGTTTCGATATGACAATAAAAACTGTTGTATGTGCCTGTCCCAGTCTCGTTGCCGTTTTTCCACAACTTTTGCTAGGTACCTCACCAATGTCTGATTAAATCGTTCTACCATTCCATCAGATTGTGGGTGGTAAGAAGTTGTTCGTGTTTTATGAGTACCCATAACTCGGCAAGTTTCCTGGAATATTTGAGACTCGAAATTCCTTCCTTGATCGCTGTGAATCTCTAAAGGTACTCCAAAACGACAGAAGACTTCATGAACTAGTTTATCTGCAACTGTTGAAGCTTCTTGATTTGGAATGGCGAAGACTTCTGGCCACTTAGTGAAGTAATCCATCACAACCATAAAATACTTGTTACCACTTTTAGTTTCCGGAAACGGCTCCGCAACGTCAATGGCTATCCTCTCCCATGGTGCACCAACATTGTACAATTTCAATGCGCCTCTACTACGAATTTGAGGTCCCTTAACAGCCGCACAACTTGTACATTTGCGGCACCAGTCTTCGACATCGTCACGACAGTGGACCCAGTGAAGCCGTTCTCGGATCTTCAGTAGAGTTCGTTTAACTCCCAGGTAGCCTCCTGAATAACCAATATGGTACAGCTGTAGAACATCCGGTATTTTAGCCTTAGGGACAACTATTTGCAAATGACATCAGTCTCCCCGACCATTTTCCCATTTACGGCACAGGACTCCATCCTGAATCAGCAAGCTGTCCCATTGGGCCCAATAGCTTTTCGTGGTCAAACTCATTGCTGAGACGTCGCTCCATGTGGTCTTAGGAGCACTAGCCTTCATCCATTCCAGAATCAGCTTAATGTCGGAATCTTCCTGTTGTGCATGTTGTAGGTTGTCCTTCCACTCATTGCTGAGCTGGTCTGTCCTGAGTATCCTCACAGATACGACTTCCTTACCCTCTTGCCTAGTACAATGCTCGCAATCTTCAGGGCAAGGTCTTCTTGATAATGCATCTGCATTGCCATGAGATTTCCCGCTGCGATGTACGATCAAAAAGTCGTATTCCTGCAGTAGTTCAATCCATCTCGCAACTTGTCCTTCCGGATTTTTGAACTGCAATAGCCATTTCATTGCAGCATGGTCAGTTCGTAAGTGACATTTCCGCCCCAGAAGATATTTGCTAAAATGCTGCAAGGACTTTACCACAGCAAGCAATTCCCGTCTTGTGACACAATAGTTCCTTTCCGGCTTTGACAACGACTTGCTGAAGTACGCTATCACAATCTCTTGATCACCATTCCATTGAGACAACACACCGCCAAGTCCTATATCACTTACGTCTGTGTCAACTATAAATTCCTTTCCCGCATCAGGGTACCCCAAAATAGGTGTTTTGCACAGACGGTTCTTGAGCTCCTGGAATGCAATATCGTAACTTTCATCCCAGCCGAAATGTCGCTTCTCCTCGGTTAGCTTGTGCAGAAGTTTGGCTATATCTGCAAAGTTCCTCACAAATCGCCGATAATAGGAGCACAAACCCAAAAATGCTCTAACCTGTGTCTTGTCTTTTGGAACCGGCCAATCCTTGACAGCGGCAATTTTTTCTGGATCCGTGCGGATACCTTCTTCCGCCACTACATACCCCAAAAAGCTAACTTGCCGTTTGAATAGTGGGCACTTCTTCGGACTCAACTTGAGGTTGGCACTCTGGATCTTCATGAGCACGCGTTCCAGGTTTTGAAGGTGTTCCTCAAACGTACGGCCTACGATGATGATGTCATCCAAGTATACCAGACAGGCATCTCCAATTAGCCCGGTAAGTACAAGCTCCATCAACCTTTCAAACGTTGCTGGAGCATTGCACAATCCAAACGGCATGACTTTAAATTGCCACAGACCCTTTCCTGTGGAGAATGCAGTTTTCTCCTTGTCCTTAGGGTCATTTTCAACCTGCCAGTAGCCACTTTTCAGGTCCAGCGTACTAAACCACTTTACGCCTGTAAGCATGTCCAGCGTGTCATCAATTCTTGGCAAGGGATAGCTGTCCTTCTTCGTAACGTCGTTCAGGCGGCGGTAGTCAACACGAAACCGCATGCTGCCGTCCTTCTTCTTTACCAGCACCACAGGTGAACACCATGGACTAGAAGAAGGTTCAATAACACCATCCTTCACCATTCCCTCAATCATGGTTTCCACTTCCTTTTCACGTGCTACAGGCAATCTTCTTGGCCACTGACGGATAGGCAATTCTTCTCCTATGTTTATTTTGTGTTGAACTAAGCCAGTCTTTCCTATGTCAGCTTTGTTTGACGAGAAAACATCGGCGTACTTGAGTAACAACTTCTTCGCCTTGACCATTTCATTCGGGGAAAGAACGCTGCGACAGTCTTCTAAAGGTGTGGTCACTCTCGTTGGTCCATCCTTGCTGGGGGTCCCAGTCGATAGATATTGGCACCGACGCAACCAATCCACTTCCTCACTAGTACCAACCAATGTGCCTTTTTCTATAATCTGTTCCTGATCACAGAGGTTCAGCACACGTACTCCTGAGATATCAGCAGTTTTGACCAAGGTTCGAGCCACTTTCTATGGATAGTCATTGTCTATCCTTTCCACGAGTACACAACGAAGAGTTTGCTAAGGATTCCGAGGAAGTCTAACCGGCACAATCATTTCCGGTCTCGGAGGAAGAACAATCTCCTTAAGGTTGTACACATTTCCTGGTAACGCCCCTTCCACGAAAAGTTCCTCTTGTCCACATTTCAAAACACCTTGCTTAACGTCGATCTCACAACAATTCTTCCTCATAAAGTCTAGGCCCAGGATGCAGTCGTCCGTTATATCAGCCACGATGACATTATGCAGGTAGATCATGTTGCCTAGCTTCAACTCCATCTCCTTCTCTCCACGGACGGGTATGCGCTGACCGGTGGCTGTCACCAAATTAATGCGTTCTCAGTTGTATGCGGAGTCCCCAAGGAACTGACTTATAAGTTGGGAACTGACAACCGTGCGAGAGGCTCCAGTGTCTATGGTCAGTTAACACGGGGTTCCGTTGACCTCGCCCTTGATGATTAGGCTGTTCCCATCATGGGTTTGTGAGATCGAAATCCTTGGGGCTCTTTGAACATCAGCCAGCACCCGCCCCGCAGTCCTGGCTTTTACTCGTTTCCCTGCTGCTGCTGGGCGGTGCTATTAGCCGCACTACCCTCTCTAGATCGATCACCTTCCCTTTCTACAGTTCGCTTAGGGCAGCTGGATCGAAAATGGCCCCTTTCCCCACAGCTGTAGCACCTAGGGCTGTAGCCGTTATTGCGGTCCCGAACTGTAGCTGCTGCAACCTCCCTGACGCGGTGGGAACGATGATCC